CACTTGACAAAGATGGAGTTGGCTTCCCAGCCATCTTCCCTGCGTATCGTTTTGCTTTGCTATGTTTCATTCGTTTCATGTACGAAATATATGTATTCAGTGGCCATTCTCGTTAATTGACTTATTTAATTCGGTTATTGGCTAACGCGATTTAAGTCGACGATGATAAACGAGAATAGGTGATAACAACCATTTATACAATCTAAATGGAGTCAGATCAACGGGTCTCAAAAAATTCCAGTATGATCTTTAATTAAACATATTTATTGAATCTTTTTATAGGTCAAATATATGTGGGTAAATTATATCATTTAAAAATAAACTGACGATACGATTCAATGATATAACGGATGAATCGTACAAAATAAAGAGTACTCAAAGATATTTCTTTCAAGAAATTTCAATAAGACTTTAAAAGTACCAATAACGTCTAAGATCGATTATCTTCTATTCTTACATAACATTTAAAATGTTCTATAATCAATATAAGTTTTAATCACTAAATATTGTTATTCAAAAGATTCTGTGCTATGAACTACTTAAATAATAAGTGGACGATATAGCATAACAATTATTAACATTAGTCGATGCTTTCGAGATATCATCTAAACTAAATTACATAGTTTTAAAGGGTTTCTATCAACTAATATACACCTTTTGCTTAGCTCATATTCTTCGGTAAAATACATATCCAGTACATTGAGGAAATTGACACTTGTGAATACATTTTCTAAAATAAAAGTTACCAATTAAAAACTTCTCCGAACGAAAAGAAGATTCACAACTATGAAGAAAAAAAGAATTATTCACATGAGTTAAAACTTTTTAAGCCAATAAAATGACCTTAATTTTAATACTTGAGATCATGAGTAAATTCAAGCTAGACCATCATGGGAAACCTGTAAGCACTGGACGGTCGTTTCGTCCTACTCTGGGACTCCTCAGCAGTGCGCATCCACGATCCGAACTCGCGAGATTCGGACCCAGGACATATCAGTCTCATGTGCGAGCGCTTAACCATTAGACCACTGAGCCGGCATCCAACGGTGTTAATGTCTAACTTCAACTAAATGAATTTACCCTATAAATATGTGAATCAAACTGATGCATTTGAAAACATAAACAAAACTGAGTTTACCGAGTTAGCTTACTTAAAATGTGACTAACTAGTAAATAACTATCTGAATTTCCTTTCTTCCGCTTCTAAATATTTCAAACTCGTAATTTAATCCTCTACTTTAATGTAACAGTACTCATGAAATAGCAGAAGAATGGAAATTAATCAATAAAGTGCTATACGAATTATGTTTGAACGATGATTACGCACTAAAACCAAATTATTGTGATAAAAACCTCTCATGTTTTCTAAAATTGGTACAGATAGAGAAATTAATTAAAAAATTGTTTACTACTTAATAAAATGATTCACATATTCACAAAATAGTTTAGCATCAATAGGAATGATAAGAAATCCTTTCAAATACGCTTATTCACGGTTGTAATTGTTTGTATTTATCTCATTAACCAATTTAACTAACAACCGACTATCAAGCTCAAGTTTTGTTCACTATATAACAAAGTCTAGTTACTGATACAAAGATAAAATTAACGATTATTAACATCACAAGCGCAGTACGGCGGCCTGCTTGAATATCTGGGCTACCTGTTCCTCCGATTTAGATATTTCATCAAGTTATCTGTTTTGTTGTTTGTTTTAGCACATCATTATGTCTATTGTGCGCACAATTTATTCAGACGCGTTTATGAAAAGTTTACAACCTTTCGCTATACGTGATACAAAAAGGTACAATCAGCGACATCATGGTGGCTGGCAATATACATTGAAACGAATGAACATAATCAAATGTGGATTACCGAACTCCTAACATTTAACCGGTCATCATTCAAAATTTATTGTCACAATAGATCAAGGTATAAGAAAAGGAAACTTGTTGAAATACTTTATGCTGAGAATTCTATGTTGTACCAAAAATATAATGTTGAATATAATAATAATAATAATAATAATAATAATAGTAATAATAATAATAATAATAATATACTTATGGATAAGGATAGGTACCTCATAATCCTCAAATAGAAGTCAATAATTAAAGTACTAAACGGTATGACTAGAAATGAACTATAGTAATAGAGATACAGTTAATGTTTAACCTTCGTTTTAATCTTCGATTGTTTACTCATTTATACTTATTTAACTATCGCCTACGTGTTCATCCCTTTCGTTTGGTTTATTTTCAGTACTTCGTTCATTTTATGGAAGTGGGTGGGGTGTTTCTATAATTATGTAACTTGATAGTTAAAATGTTCAGTAAATTGAATTGTATTTCATCGTGTTAACATATTTTACGCCTTGTCTAACAAATATTTTTTATAGATTTTAAAGTATTAAACAGCAAATACTATGGGAATCTTATTAATATATGTGAGGAAACGAGACAAAATACTGACTTCCTTTAATAAACACGGACATGAAGAGCTTACATTTTTGAGTGGTGAAATGCATTTTCCAAAAGTATACTTCGAATAGTCAATTGAAGTTAGAGAAATCATCATACATATCATCTTATTATTTTCATAAAACTAACCGTAACAAATAAAACTTGATTAGCATTTTAGACTACTTATAAGTAGGTAAGTTGGGCTTGGAATATTCGACTACAATAATTTTCTATTTAGTAAGTATGGTCACATTTTCGTGAAAATGCCTAACTTAATTACCATTAGGTATTCGATAGTGAGTATCTGTGAAGTGGTTCTCTGAAAATTTTAGTGAGAACCTGTAATGTATGGAGGCAAAAATGTCAGAAATGCAACTGCAACTTATCAATAACTCGGAATGAGGATTGGACTATCTTTAAAATGAACTGAAATTGAAAATTTGAACTGTTGGATTTCGAATCAGTGGTTCAAAGGTGTATTGATCCCCATACGCTCTGAAGGTATGAACCTCGATTGTGTACAGTGCCATGCGCGGATACAGACAACAAGTTCAAAACTTCAATGACTCTGATAAGTAGTACTGCTTGGCTTTCGAAGCTTTGAAATATTTCATCATTCAGAAATTATTTCTTACCCACAACAGACTCATCATTTTTCACTACTCAAATCTAACTAAGTTTTAGAAGAACTATATTATTTACAAATCCACAAGTGCATTTTCTGATTGAAGAACAACCTCTGAAAAGTTAGGCGATGGAAGCATTGTTTCTAAAAGCATGTCTATAACTAAGTTAAATGAAAGTAGGGAAGGCGGACAACCTTACAGAACACCACTTGAAGTAACCGATTTCGATGGCAGTTCCCCCATAAGCTCTCACTCACTCGACCAGTAGTGTTCGAATGGAGACCCTGTACAAGGTTAGTGCACTTCATTGATACTCCTTTCAATGACAGACACGGCCACAGAACCTCACGGTCAACAGAGTTGAATGCCACCGTAAAGTCAAGGAATGAAACTATAGTCGGACGTCGAAAAGTATGTCTATGTTCTAGATCCTGCCGACGGGTTAATATTTGCTCTATACATTTACGTCCAGTTCTGAAAACTGACTAGTCTCCTCGGGTTTGCCCTTCATGGGCTACAGTTAGATGTCGAAGTATTATCGAGGCCAATACTTTAGAAATTATACTAATGAAACGGATTTCTTTGTGACTGTCATAAGGAGATTTCTGTTCTTTTTTATAGACTGGGACGATCAGCGATCGAAACCAATAGGATCGGATTACTTTCAGTTCCCAAATTTTAGCTAAATCTAGACCATCATCCTTAAAAATCTCAGGGGTTAGTCCATCAGACCCTGCCATTCTCATTTGGTTTAGATTGCTTGTAGCTTTTTAACCTCACTAAAATTTGGAAAGCTTAAGCCAATTCACCATTCAGGTACCCTGGAGATAGTGAGTAACTGAAGGTAAAATAAGTGGGGAACCATAACTGAATGGAACAAATCAAACTGTTTTGAAGAATAAAGGATTTTTGCTTCACAGTAGGATATTTATAGTTATTCATTTGAATTACTAGTCGAATTCGAGTCATAAATGCCGAATAATAACAATCTAAACCAAGAGTATAATATTGGAAAGAGATTGAGCGATTCTTAAATCGCATGATTTCGAACCTACTAATCAGCTAGTGAGTCTCTATAAATCAAAAGTATTTCGCATTCGAATTAATGAAACCTGTTTAGAGGTTTTGAGAAGTTTATTGACTTTGAGAGAACTGTTATCAGTTCTCCTATCCTCATTTTGTAAGTCACCACACCACACCATTAATCTGAGGGCAAATTTATTCATTCCAGTGATTTTTTTAAAAATCGTTTTCATATCTATAAGTAGTTTTCTAGAAAATTTATCACCGCCTACAAAATCTTTATTAATAAACTGATGAAAGAGTTATTAGGATGAAATTATAGGAGAATCATTGTTTTTACCTTGTCGATATGAGGAATTCATGTGTGAAAATCGTTGATTATCTTAATATTCCAACACCATCAGCCAGTTTATATGCAGTGAACAATTAACAAAATGAATTTATCGCAAGTTTACAATGAACAAAATAAATTGAAATGAAAACTGATTGATTCATTAGAAATGTAAATTCTATATATATGAAAGCAACTACTTGATACGTTTAACATTATCCTTCATACTTTGTGATAGGAAAATTTCCCTGACAATTATGAGCGCTCTCAACACAAAGACATTTCTATCGCACCTTCAATATAATTAAAATCATTCATTTTTTAATTTCGTGCAAAAATTGGAAAGTAGCTTTCTCAACTCCGATTAACTTGTCCCTATAATACACTTTTCCCTTCATGCATATGTGCAGCATTTTAACTTGACCAACATAAACAGCATCACTTAAATGATTACCCCAATAGGTATGAGTAAAACTATCGGTACATATTATGAGGTTTCACCTATTTATCTAATCACTTAAATTTTGTTAAATTAAGCAATTAAATTAGAAAGCTTGCTTGCTTCAATAACTATATCAAACTGTTCTGAACAGTTAAAAGTTTCAACTTGAAAACAGGTATATTCCAAAACGTAATGTGAGATAAAGTCATATATTTTGTGCAGTTTACAATAAACCAATTTCAAAATATTAAAATAATCATAATTAATTAGATCTCATGAAGATTTGTGAACTACTTAGAAAACAATACAAACGATAAATATCTTCAAAGATCGACTGAATTTCTTTTCACATAAATATCGACTGCTCTTTGCCAACATTGAGATTAAAAAGTAAGTAATGTATGTTTTATTCCATATTACACAGAAGATTTAAAAAATACAACTGATTATAAGTACAGGTGCTATACAGAACAAAAAATATCGAAGAACTGAATAATAAAATGTTTTATTGTTCCCAAATAATAAACAAACATCAACGGGAAAGACTTCATAAGAATTTTTCTGTTTTTTCTCTCGAGATTTCATGGTGTTGTACTGATTGGATTAACAGCAGTATTTGGTGTTAATATTGAAGATGCTGAAACCAGCTGACATAAACTCGGTATAGAACGTAAATTACGCATTAATAAGCATCGACCATTTTCATATTCTCTACGTGAAACAAATAGATTCAATTCAAATCTAATAAATTCATTCACTTGTTCTGTAGGTAGAGATGGACTAGTGACTTCACGACGTCTCATACGATGGAACGAACGATTCAGTGCTTCAATACAAGATGTCAACATATTGAGTGAGTTTTCATCTTGTGCCATATTTAAAGATGAAGCCAGATTAACTGTTGAGCATGCAGGATTATGATTAGAATATTCTGATGAATTGGAACCAGACACTTTTGGATCAACTGGCCTCGAACTACTACCACTACTGACTATAACATTAGAATTATTTTCAGCTGAATTTTGTGATGCATTATTAGGCACTAAAGGAACAGCTGCATCCATTCCTTCATTATTCACAGCACTTGCAACCTGATTTTGTTGACCTAAAGCATCAGGCACAACATGTTGTTCGACAACTGACGAGAACTGGGAAGATATCTGTTGTGGTGGTTCACCAAAAAAACTTCGATTCCTTTCACTTCTCAATACAGACATGAGATACTTAATTTAGGAAATAGAGAGATAACAAAGGAACAGAGAAATATTACAATATCATAGGAAAGATTTTCATTCATGATAAGCAGAATTATTTTGTGAAATCAATTTGAAAAGAATATCAAAATAATATGTAGCATCTATTGTTATAACACTTTGAATCAAACATTTGGAGAACTGTGTGCAGCGGTGACTTAGTGATTGAAGGACTACACTTTTTTTCTAACTAGTAGGTCACAGTTTTTAACCCTGATTCATCTACTTCGATTTAGGAAACTGAGTTGTATCGATAACCTATGAAAAGAGAAGATATGGATAAACTGCCGGTTTTAGATCAAATGTCCCTTCAAGGCACTTTTCACAGATTGATTAATCTTGAGGTTCGACGTATAGGACTAGACAATTATGGGGAATCGGTTGACTAGGCTGTAAATTGTCATAGACTGAGGTGTTACTTATCTTCAACTATTCTCCACCTTGATCCATCATTGTTAGACGGAGTAGGAATAGTTAGAAAAAACATCAGTTTATCCACAAAGCAATCATTTATATCGCATTATTGGTGCAGTCTCTACTTCCTAAGATGCGATTTGTTTTTGTGTTTGTTCGAAAATATCTTTGAATTATTACCTTATCAAGCTTACTAGAAAGATCTATTTACTGCAAGTATATAGGTGGATGATATCTCAGACTGAATAAAGAAAGCTAATACTTTTTTTAAACATAAAAGAAAAAACACATTGAATAAAATTACCAGATTACATTATTTCATATGTTGGGTAGTTGAAGTTAAGCAGTAAGAAATACTAGGCATTTTAATAAGCTTTGAGATAACTACTCATACTAAATAAGGCATGATATAAAGAGAAAAAAGAAAACAGTTAGGTGGCCTGGGATCTGACTGCTGTCGAAATATACATCATGACTATCCTCGTATGTCTTTATCGACTTAAATCGCGTTGGTGAATAACGGAATTAAAATAAGTCAAATACGAGAATGAATTTCGAATACGTATTTTTTGTACAATCATTGGTCTGGACAGACAATCAGAGGGACGAAACAAATAGAAAAGAGCGAAACGAAATGGCGCGCAGTGGAGACGACGTGTGAGCCAACTCCATTTGATTAAGTGTGAATCAAAATTTATAGTCACACAAAAATAGGCTACATTACATGTGGTGAGTAGGACAAGACGTACACACATATACGCTCATATAAAAACAGTCAAGGTTGATAAGTGAATAATTAACAAGGTCAAAACGTGGCTCAAGAAGAATGAATAAATTGGCCTATCCAGAAGCTAGAATAAGATATTATGGGCTTAACATATCAACCAACACTATAACAAACTTAATTTCCAAATTACAAATAAATTGATTTAACTTACATATCGTAATGCACCTGACTGATAGTCAGCCCAAAAATCTTCAAGTTGGTTAAGTCGTGTAAATTGTAAATTACAAATAAATTCACTTGGTGAACGAGTTTTCAATAAATTTGATGCTTGTACAAAAAAATCAATCTGACGTTCAAAAAAATCTTGACGAACTGTTTGAATTCTTCTCTAATTGCAGAAGAAGAAAAAGGAAAGAAAGCAGAATAATGAAATTTATACAATCGATTTATACAATCCATGGTGGTCTAGCTTCAATTGACTCATGATTCCAACTATTGAGATTTAAAATATATAATTGATTTTATTTTCTTCTTTTGGATGACCAAGATTTTACTCATTTTTGATAAGAACTATAATGATTTAAAACCACCCTTTAAACTTTAATAATCCTGAAATATGGTTTGCTTTTATAGTGATTGTATGGTTTGAATAAACAGTCAATTAATATCCAATTACAATTATTTTATCTTTTCTATTATCACTAATATTTATTCTATGTGAAAATTATATTTGAAATAATAATCTCAGCGATTGAAATTTATCTAATTACATTTTGCCTAGTAAACTTGCTTAGGATTTCTTCAAGATAATAATCAAAATGGAACTCGTCAAAGAAATATATATATAGTGTATAATAAAATCAAATCTTTACTGAGCTTATCCAACCATAATAAGATGTTACCTTTTGTAAGTAGGATAACATGAATCGGTTGTATGTGAATCATATGAAAAGTTCACAATGTTAAGATGAATGAATGAATGATTGATTGTGTATGTATGTGTGTGTGTAAGTTTTAGTTATTAATAGTTGATATTCGGTGGTAAATTTTTTTATATGAAGTACAAATAAGTGAAATTGTTTCTGAATCATTGATGTGCATGTAAAATGAGAATCATCAAATATATAATTGTAGTGCTAAAATATTACAGATTAATTTCTGTCAGAATAACGATGCATGTTAAATAAACAGTTTGGATAGAGAAAGTGTCCAATTACTTGTTAATGGACCTTTTCCATGTGATAGTTAGTTGAATACCATCTTTTCTGTTCAGACTGTTCTTATTGGCCCATATATAGAGAGCTTCTGCTGTCAATTTTTCTTTATATGTCCCAAAATCTTCCTGAAGTATTTTGGTCCCTTCAAAATTGATCTTGTGTCCTGTTTCTAACTCGTGTAACGCTATTGCCGACCTATTCTCAAGTTTCTTCAGATCAACCGAGGATTTGGGAACATTTTTCAAACATTGTTCGTGTTTCTTCAAATTCACGTTCAATTGTCCTGACGTTTCTCTCACATAAACTGCATTGCAATCATGACAGTTGATTTCATAAAGAACATTCTGTTGTTCTTCCTTTGGAAACCTATCCATAACTTTCACTAGTGCTGATCTTATGGTGCCACTATCCCGAAAATACACTCTTATATCATGTTTGTTTAGAATTCTTTTGACTTCTTCCAATGTGTCACTACGGTATGGGATGACCAGTCTTTCGGCATACATTCTAGTTTAATTTTACTTTTATTTCAAATAATCCTGTTTAAGAACTCTGGGGTAATTGTTATTCCCTAAGCGCAGACAAAACTCCATTCAATTCTACCTGTTGGTCTTCCTTATCTGTAATGAGATTAATACTCCTTTTCATTAAATTTTTACAACTGTGACTTTTGTACAATACACATGAGCCGAACCGTAATCTAATTATCTCTCAGAATGTGTTGATTTCATGAATAGCTTTATTTTCAACTTATTATTATATCTTCGTTCAAACAAACAATCGAGAAACTCTAGTTTATAGTCATTGGACTCTATATCCTTTTGTTAACTTGATGCTCTCCGAAATTTTGTTTACATTTTCTAACAATTCTTCTAAACCACTCCATTTAACGATAATAAAAATGTCATCTACATACTGTAACCCGACTTTTGGTGGATTTATACATTTGTGACCGCAGTGGTTTCTGGGGAATGCATGAATAAATTCATTACCATCGGAGAAACTGGTGAAACCATTGTCACACCTATCACCAATACTGTTTCTACCGCTATTAATTTGGTATGTATCTTGATAATTTTATCTTGTTTAATTATATGGCTTGGTAGCTTGAATCGAGGTACATATGTTGTGCATACTATCTATGCTGACAGATATAAGTAGTATGTTGCAGCAATCGAATATGGAATGTCTGCCAGCAGAAGATTGAAATAAAGACAATAGGAAGGGATACAGAGAGCAGTTTTAATAACAGAATTGAAAGAATCATGAAGCATTTAAACGACAGCTGAAGGAAGATGTGCAAATAATGTATTTAACGTATGGTTTTCACATTTCGTGAACTCTGTAATATTGCATTGGATAATAAATTTGTTTTTTCCACCTGAGTTCTCGTTTACTACACATACTTGCCACGTCCTAAGTTGTTTATAACTAACTGACTAATTGGTACAATATCACTATGTCAGTCATAATCAATGTAGACCCTTCCTTAAGTGTGGTCTGACCCAATGTGCCATATCAAAACACTACGAAGTGAAACTAACAAATAAATCAAAATGACTCAGTAGCGATGATGAGATTGAGCATAGGGAACATGACACGAGAAGACAAGATGAAAAGAGGAAACATAGGGATTCAAGGCTTAAAGATTAATGGTGAATGGATCTGCGTAACTATGACTAATTCTGAGTCATGTCATCCAACGTTTCCAACTACTGACCGCAGTTATTAAGCGAACACCAACCAGGTAATCTGCATCTATTAACATGGCTCAGATCAATAATCGATGGCTCCAATCATCAAGGCTTCTTATAATTTTCAAGGGTAAAGTAAGGAATGATATACGTCGGTAATACAAAACGTAAATCAAAAACTGTAACTTCGAAACCCAACGCTTGTGTTATTGACAAATAAAAGTACAATATAAGCTAATAAAAGTTTGAAAGTAATTATAATCTTCTACTTTACATTTTAGCCTACTTTCCTCGGTAAAGATAGTGGCTTCTGAAAACTTTAAATGTAAGAAAGCCCCTTGGATTATTCATCGCTTCAAAAATGAATTGTCAAAAAACTGGTAAACTTTAAAATTCATGATTTTACAGTAAATGATCATTCAAAAAACATGTGGCATCTCGTCACCAATTGAGGTGGTTGGGTGAAGTGTTATACATGTCCAACCTCGACTGGTGATGTTGTCTGGTGCTAAAATAGGCTGGGAGAAGGCTAAGTGTGGCCAAATTAAAACATGACAGTTCACTCGTAAGCTACTAGTATTTGACCACAGCTGCCTGAAAAATATTGCTGGCGTCTGCTGGGATCACCGGGTAAGTAATTGTGAGGTTAGACTCAGGGTATTTGGGATTGATGGTTAATCATTTGATGTGGTTGTGAATCTTCATCGACTGAAATGGTTGGGCCACGTGTTACGTAAGCCTGAACACCGCTTACCACGACGTACAATGCTTACCGGTGCTCGGGATGGTTGGAAGAGAATTAGGGGCGGCCAAATCAAAACGTGGCATCATTGCTTGAAGTCACTATCGTCTAGTCTGAGCCATGTTTGTAGATGCAGACTACTTGGTTGAGGTCCGCGTGACTATCGTAACCTATGG